GATGACGACACTCTTTGGCTCCAATCGGGCGACGAGACCATCGAAGTGCTGGGACTCGATGTCCACAACTACTGCACCGGTATTTGTGTGGCACTGAAAGGCGTCCAAAACTGCAAGTCTGCGTTCGTTGCGGAAGACGTGTGTTTTGCCGGCATTTGGTCTCCGGTGACGCCTATAGACAGGGGTCTGGCAGTGAAAGACCAATACATAGCTGTGGTGTCGGGCCTCGGGTTCTCGAAGTTCATGAAAGACAACACAAAACTCACGAAAGGCTTGAATCTATTGAGTGATATATTGAAGGGTAACTCAGACTTCGCTCAAAACAAAGCCATTTCGCGACTCATTATCGCCGGCAATGGCATCGGATTAGACGCCCGGAAGCAAGAGTGCGATTCACTGCTGGATGTGTTGCTTCCGGTTTGGAACCAAAAAGTGAGGGCACAGACAGTGGAGGCCATCACTCTATACGACTCATTCATCGCACGTTTGGGACAATCCATTGATGTGGACGTTATGCCCGGCAATCTGGACCCCACGTCCCAACTGTGGCCCCAACAGCCACTGCATCCGTGTGTCTTCAAGAAGTCCTTCAACTTGTCTTCCATTAAATGTGTATCTAATCCCCATTTGGCGCAATACAATGGCATCGAAATGTTAGGCACTTCCGGTCAGAACATAGACTCCATCCGAGAATACACTAAAATGAATGACAGCATCGATATCATGCGAAAGAGTCTGGAGTGGCTGCACGTGGCGCCCACCTGTCCCGACACTATGCTCTGCTACCCATTCAAAGACAAGGATCCGTTTGTGTTGAGACAATACCCGGACGTGTATTTCGTGGGCAATCAGAAGGAGTTCAGTAGCGGTTCATATTCGGCGCCCAATGGACAGAAAGTTTTACTCATTTCTGTTCCCATTTTTGAGCAAAAGATGATTTGTGTTCTCATAAACACCACATCATTGAAGTGTGATTTCATTGCTTTGAATTAAACGCAAATTTATTTATTTTTCTACTTTTCATTCAGAGATTCAAATTCTAGTAATTTTTTATCCAAAAGTTTCAAATCAATTTCCTTATTCTTAAACAATAGTCTGTTATTGAAGTGAATGACAGGAATTTCATACCTATATCTGTGAAACCATTTCTCATTAGACTTCTCTTTGATATCAACTTCAAAGTATTGAACTCTATTGAGGAATGGCTTCAACTGATGCTTAACCTCATCACAGAGAAGACAATCTCTTTTGGTAAATAATGTTAAGGAAGGCAGAGAAGAGGCATTTCGGTCGTCATTATCACTGCATGAATATTAATAGTCATTGATTTTAATTGAAAATATTTTGTATAAAAATAGAAATTTTAAAACATTATAAAAGTGTTATAAAAATCAATTCATTGCCACATGTCTTACAGTTTTTGAACCAATAGAGCAGAAGCACCTCCACCTCCGTTACAAATGGATGCCATTCCGTACTGTCCGGCCTTCAAGTGCACGACCAGGTTATTGACAATACGGGCGCCGGACATACCTAACGGATGTCCGAGACTAACAGCGCCACCGTTGACATTGACTTTATTGGGGTCGATGTCGAGCATCTTTATGTTGGCGATGACAACGGCACTGAACGCCTCATTGATTTCCCACCTCTCGATCTCCTCTTTCTTTATGTTAAACTTATTCAATATCTTCGGGACAGCAAATGCCGGTGCGATCGGGAAATCTATAGGATCTACAGCTGAGTCGGCGAATCCAACAATTCTGGCCAACGGTTTGGCACCATATTTATCACATGACTTGCGAGTCATTAGGACGGTAGCGGCGGCGCCGTCATTGAGTGTACTGGCGTTGGCGGCCGTCACTGTCCCGCCTTCTCTCTGGAAAACTGTCGCCAAAGTCGAGAATTTGTCGAAATTTACTTTTTTGTATTCTTCGTCTTCAGACACAGTCGTCGATCCCTTTTTGCCGGTTATGACCACTGGTGTGATCTCTTTGGCCAATAGGCCACTATTGGCTGCATTCGCACTGCGCTTATAGCTGTTGATGGCGTACTCGTCCTGTTGCTGACGAGTGATTCCCAACTTCTTAGCCGTATTTTCAGCGCAATTACCCATATGTATGAGACTATAGGCGTCTATGAGTCCATCGAAAACAATCCCGTCTTCGAGTTTGAGTCCACCATAAGTGGTGTCACCTCTTCTCAGATAAAACGGCACATTAGACATGCTTTCCATACCGCCGGCCACTATCACCTCCTGATGGCCTAACATGAGACTCTGTGCACCAATCATAATAGCCTTCATCCCAGAGGCACACACTTTGTTGATAGTAGTGGTGACTATAGTGGTGGGCAAACCCGCGCCCAACGCCGCCTGTCTGGTGGGCGCCTGTCGTAGACCCGATTGCAACACATTTCCCATATAAACCTCTCCGATATCTATCAATCAATGTCTTACAGTTAGACACCACTCAAGTGACAATCAAGAGTTAAACCTTCATTCCTGAGACCGGATCTCTCGATGGCAGCTTTGATGGCAACGGTTCCCAATTGTGGTGCACTTAAGGCAGACAATGAGCCCCTGAATGAGCCGATAGGGGTTCGGGCGGTCGATACGATCACCACTTCTTCTGAATACAAGTGATTACAAGTGGAGAAGCGATTCAACACGAGTTTTGAATCTTTTCGCAAAGAAATCAATCGTTTTGTTGAGCGAAACATATCTTAATTGCAATTAATTTATACTTCAAATCTGATTGTAAGCATTGATATGCTATTACAGTAACTGTAATATACTGTAAACATATGATTACTGCACTGATAAATGAGACATTCATGCAATACGTGTTGCCATACACTCCCCTCTCACAGACATGTCATGTGAGTGCAGTGCAACCCTATGACCCCTCCCTCACACTGCCAGCCCTCCACTGCCTCAATGAGTGTCGTATTTGACGTACAAATAGCTCAACAATGCGTGAATGCATAGACTATTTGTTGTGGCTGTGAGTGAATCCAGTGAATGACAGACTGTTGGACTGAATGAGTGATTGTATTGTGTTTTGAGTGCATATCATATGCCATATCAATGTCTCTCTACAATGCGTGAATGCATAGACTATTTGTTGTGGCTGTGAGTGAATCCAGTGAATGACAGACTGTTGGACTGAATGAGTGATTGTATTGTGTTTTGAGTGCATATCATATGCCATATCAATGTCTCTCTCATTGTATTGTTTAATGGTTTGGATTACTGTCTAAAAGTGATTCAATTGAACGCCTCCAAAGTGTTCACATCTCAAGACACTATACTTTAGCACTAATCCAATGAATGAGTCACTCATTTGATGCAAATAATGGCCACAAATAGTGTCAATGAAAAGCATTTGATTGCAAACCGTTTGTTAGAGTCTGTGAAACAAGTGAGACATCCATTCATATATGAATTGTCATGAAATTAATGCTCCTTTCAATGGCTTCTAGTGTCAGATCAGATTCGGTGGGCGTTCAGAGTTGGCCACAGATATGGACCAAAGAGTGGTTAAGTTGTGTCAATCACTGGAAGAAGCGTTAAGTCACGGTCTCCGCAAGAATCGCAATCTTATTCATTACAATCGGTTTGCCGTCAAATGTCTATTGGTTTCACTCATTCACTAATTAATGGTTTCTTGAATTGTCAGCAAAAAACTGGTGAACGGCTTAACCCGGAGCTCGAGTGCCAATCAAGGGTTCAACGAATCGCACGAAACAAGTGTCTGTTTTTGGCATTTCGTGAGTCTTCATCTGACACGACATGAATTTGATCGCTATTTGCTTCTGAGGAATATTAGGACAGGTATGACATCGACACCAAATAGACACACATTCGCTGACATATGGTCTTCATTGTAGACACGGGTCGGGGAAAGGCATGGCTGAGGAGTGCACTGAATGAGCACTCGTTGGAGAGATATATGTTGAGTCTTCTGTCGGATTCACTCACTCTTCGCAATGACTTCTATGAAGAGAACGCATTCATGAGAGACGAAGAGATTAACTCTGTTTTGCCGACTCTTTCTCGTGGACTCAACTCTATATTGTTTGCTATTAATATAGATAACTCTGAACTCGACAGCAAAACACTTGACGCCAACAATAGATCAGATCCTCTGCCAGTCGTTTGTAAGACGGAGTCGACGACTGGAGTGCGGAAACGGCGGACGCGAGTGAATGTGATATCTCTGAGCGATGACGAGAGCACCGATCAGACGAGTGCCGCCCGAAGTGCTCCGACGACTACTCTCTCTTCACCCGACTCTGTATTTCGAGACAAACAGTTGTCGACCACTTATGACACTAACAACAGCTCTATGATTACAAACCAATCACTTGACCGGACAGTTGTGTTGACACCGTTTGACTCTGAAAATGTGGATAATTTAGAACTGATTGTCGACAACAGTGGCTGTGATTTCGATAAACTAAGTGTTAGTGATAATCAAGATTTGCAAAAATTAGAGTCAAGTCATGAGACATCGAGTAATGCGGAGTCCATTGCAGACAAAACAGAGTTAGAGAGAAGTCGAGCAGAGATTCAGTACTTAAAAGACAAATATGAGGACAAACTCACAAAACTGTTGTCACAAAACGATAGCTTACATAAAGACAACGAATTGCTTCAAATCCAACTCAACAAATATATAGCAGCCGTTCAACTGCTCAAGTATTCAGCCAAAGAGGACACCCACTCAGTGGCCAACCCTTCCCAACAGTCTTTCGAGTCGACCAAAGCATTCGAAGCCCAGAATGAGAGCTACTTTTCAGAGATCAACGAATACGAGAAGAAATTGGTGGAAGTGGCGGAAATGCACGCAGAACTGGTTGAGTTCAACCAACACCTCCATCGGGTGATCGCCCAGAAGGACAACCTCATCACTCGACTCAAGCATGAGTTGGTCCACTTGAGAGGACCCGTATGTCTAGAATTTATACAATAATATCCAATAACACAATGATTGGTATTTTGATCATTGAATTGTATTACAGTTGCCGGATGTGACCGAAGCCACCGAAGACCTGATGAGTGTTTCATCAGATTTTGAGATGGATTTCTCATTACAATCGTCGATAAATCAAGCGTTGATTCACATATGGATACCGACTGTGTTTCTGGCGGGCGGGCAGAGGAGTAAATCGCATCATATCTACCAGATATACGTACGGATCAAAGAGGAGGAGTGGAATGTCTACAGACGTTACTCACAGTTCTATAGTCTCCACAAATCTCTTCGTAAAAAATTTCAAGTTTTAAATACATTTGATTTCCCGCCGAAGAAAACCATTGGAAATAAAGACTCAAAAGTAGTTCAGGAAAGACGCAAACGACTTGAGAATTATCTGCGAAATCTTATTAATGTCCTCCAATCCCAACACAACGATATATCCGATAAACAACATCTCATTGCTGTCATCCCATTCCTCAGGTAAGGCCGACTTGTTTTATACGTTAATATACAGTAGACTTATACGGACGGGTCGTTTCAGCGAACGTTTCGTCCAAAGCGAAGGGCGCTCTCGTTCTGACACTCACTTGGATTCCGGCAGCACTTGTACTGAAGAGCACCCACAGGAACGACACTACATAGGGTTATGAGAATTATTGCCAAACTTTTAAAACCAATTTTAGAATATTTTAAACAAATGATACAGTATTTATAAATGATTGATATTTTTAATTATTATTTTATTTGAGTTTTAATAATGGAAACAATGATTGACTAGACGTTGAAGACATCAATATGTATTGGAATTAGAATTATATATAAATTTATTTATTTATTTACATATATTTGTACTCAAAAAACATTGAAAATTTCAAAACTCTTTTAAACATTATTTTAAACATTATTTTAATGGTATTTCTCTTTTGAAGAGAAAATCAGTTGATTTTAAATAAATTTTATGTTAAGGCACTGGTATTTGTCCGACTCATACGACTGTCCATTCATTTATTGTCGAATCCATGCGACACTCTCTGCCATCAGTTGGCATACGATGACAAAGATTTCGGTGTCATTCGAGCGGTTCTTTTCGCGCAAGTAATGGATTAATTGACTTCTCTTTGGATTGAAACGTAAAATCATTTCAGTATTAATTGAAACAAATGTCAAAAACAATGGTTTTGAATACATTTCCTATGAGTTGCGGTGAATCGAGTTTGGAGTCGAGATTATAGTAGAGTTGACCGAAAGACCGAATGGCTATCCAATGCTTGCGACTCGACAGCAGACTCGATGGCAATGAGAACAACGAACTGGTGGTCCACTTGCGGCACGAGTTGTAGATTGGGTTCGGAATGTTTAGTATGAATCCCTTGATGTGATCCAATTGCAACTGATCCGGGTCTCTGTCACATCCAATGAGCAGTCAGTGGCCAGTCATACAGTGATAGACACCATTGAATACATACTTTCTTTTGTCGAACCAAATGGTCTCCAAATGCTTGGAATGTAAGGCAGAGATAATGACATTAATGTCATAATTGCCTAAACCTAGGGATGACTTGTGAGGGTTCAAGAAGCGACTGTTTGGCGATAGACTGCCGGAAGACAAACAAGTGGTCAGTCAGTGGTAATCATCACCTCAACAGGTGTCATACGTGTGGCAAATGGTGTCCAAATCGCATTTAGTGAACGCATCCATGTCTTGGAGCAGATTATTGAGGGCATGCTTTGCACACATCTGTTTGCACTGCTTCTCGTGATATATGACACCATTCATCACTTCCAACACATCCGACCCATTCGTGTGGTCCGCCTCCACATCACTCACCACACCGTCGGTGCCATCCTTGCGCTTGTCGTCCACTATTGAGCCCACATCGGATCCATTGAGCACTACATGCGAAGACATCACCGGACACTCAATACATGCTATACTGATGTGAACGCTAATGAATGGCAATTGTGTGGCAATTGACAGCAATTTACGATACAATGAATCTATGAATCAATGAATTCATTGAAAACCAAAACACAAATCAATGACTGTTTTGATGCAAACTGTCAGTTGTTGTCACGCATGCGCTCTACTCTATCAACACTACTATTACTAGTTTTAGTTTGGTACTAGGTACTAGTTTGACAATTCAATCACTGATTCAGTCATTCAATACTTTTAAGTTAAAAGTTTGAACATCTAATCAGTTGTTTGAATTCAGTTTTTGTCACCAATATAGACATTCAGTATACACTATTCATATCAATTCATTGTCTTTATTTTGTTTTAAAAATTATATAATTCTTTATAATGAACTGGCAATGAATCAAAGTTTGCATATATGATCATGTCAATTTACATAATTTGATATTTTACTTTTAAAAAATGATATTTTTATATAAATTAATTGATTTTTTGTATTATTATAAAAATATTTTGCATGAAATACATTACAAAATCAATTGATAATAAATTAGGTAATAAATTATAGTATATAAAAGACTAACTGACTATAAGATAGTGTGTATTGAGAAGTGAGTGTATCGTATAATAGTGTATCAAATAGACTGATGTGCCAATGAATGGTAGTGTAAGTGTTATAGTTTGGTGTGGGATGGCGTCGAACAGAGCTTAAGTGAGGGCACCCTCGAGAACAGAGTCCCACTCCCTGTCCAATACTTGTCGAGAGTAGAGTCGAGTGTTTCGTGTGATGTGTCCAGAGTTGAGACCGCATTGAGAGTGGAATTGCTGTTAATATAGTCGGCGATCAATAGAGTAATTTCGACGATCGACGACTTATTCATTATAAACAGCAAACGCTCGGATCGGTTGCTGTCGGCGCGAGAACTGCCAGACCCGGTGCCCGAACCTGAATCGGCTTCGAGTGATGCGTTCCTTGTGGTGAAGACGAGCATAAAATCCTGTTTACATCCGCCAAATGTCATCAGATTTTTATAAGAATATCGAGTAATCAAATGAAATGAATCGGAATCTAATAAAGCGATCGATTCATCAGAAACAGCGATCCAGAGCTTCGTGTGACTGGAGATGACTATCGGCACTGTATTACAAGAGTCCACGAATTTGACTGGTTTTGAAAGTTTTGCCTCAAAAAGTTTGGACCCATAAAAAGGCCACTTTCGGGAACAGTTGAGATATATTCGGACACAATCTGTTTGGGGTCTGCCTTTAAGTTCCATCCATTTGTCGCGAATGCATTCAATCAAACTCTTGACGAAATTAACTTCTTTGTAATGAATGGGAAAGAACTGTTGGATCACTTGCTGAAGAATCACTTGCGGACGACTTATGGCCACAAAATCTCCAAATTCTATTTGAGCCATAAGTGCAGACAACTCGAGCGCCAGGTCTTGAGTGACAGGAAAACGTCCCAAAACTATCTCATTGTTGGTCTGAAAGACGGATAACAGTCTTTCCTTCTCGGTCTCAGATTTCATGGAATTCTTGAGACACAGTCTTTGTTTGTAAAGCAATTTAACGACTTTTGTGTTTTCAAATCGGCCGAAATGGTTCTCCCGAAGAGCCCGTTCCCACCGGCAGATAATATCGGCTAACTTTGCCTTACAATCCAATAAGTGTTCGACTTCTTTGTCAATTGGGTCATCACTGAAGAGAGCGAATCCGGACTGACTATTGTCTCGAATAGAGATCTCTTTGTTGAGTAATTGACAGAACTCTTCGATAGTCGTCGAGCCATCAAATCCGACGACATTATAGGTTTGGTTCACGAAATTGACTGGAATTGAATGCGGGAGAGAGTGATGGTATGGATTGCGCAACAGAATGGACAGCACTTCCATTCTGGAGGGACCGAACTCTCGCGACCCGTTCTTAAGGGTTCGGTCTAAAGCTCTTCGACAATAGATGGCATACTTGCCGACGTCTGTCTTCGTATCACTCGTTCGCCGCAAATGTTGTTTCAAAAGCCAAAGAGTTCTGCTTTGAGGAGAAAAGAGGGAAATCGCGAGAGAAAGCAATTGAAACGATTGGATGAATACGACGTTCAGAGCATTGCTTTTGTCTGAAGAACAAGCATTAAGTGACGTCAAGGTTTCGTTTACAGATGTCGGGGATGTCTTCTCACTGGTAGTGCCGGATGTGTCGCACGTGAAGATAGTTTGTGTCGCACACAACAGGAACTGATGAACTCCAGAACTTCCACACAGTTTATGGCAATAATGAGGAGACGTTTGCTTTACTAATTGGCAAAAGAGTTCGCTCTGGAGTTCGGGATTAGTTAGACATAACTGAAGAGAGTTCTGGACCAGAGATACGTGATAGTCGATGCCCGACGAATCCAATGGCACTGATATGAACAGTTGGATTGATTTAAAGAGTTTGATGGCTTCGCTCTTAAGATATTCGTTTGGAAGTGTTGTCAACGGCTCAGAGATATTGTCTTTAGTGTAGAGAAGTAATGGATTTTTCCATAAGGAATGTCCGTCTAATGTGTCGATGCAATCACTTTCAGCTTTCATCAAACGGGACACCAAATGCTCAAAAGGAGTTCCAGCGGAATGTTCTCCCGTCACGACAACTGTTAAGTGATATAACCATTCATTGAGATCTTGTTTAGAAGACAACAACAAATAGATTGGATCCGATGAGTGTTTGGCGTGAATGGCAATCGTGTGATTAGAATATCGACTTGAATTGGTCTCAATTAAAGAAGTCATAGTGTTTTGCTCAGTGTCTTCATTGTCTGAATCCGAGAGGTTCTCAACTTCTTCTACTTTGGCTGACTTCAGATCAATTCGATTGATCGGAACCTTATCGTTGGGTGACTTGAAATAGACGAGATGTCGGCCATAGAGAGCGCACCAACACCTCTTGGAGTGTCCGGATCTCACTTTCGTGACAAAGCCTTCAATAATGGGCTTTTGGTCTTCGCTTATATGGAAAACACTGTTCTGTTTGAGAACATTATTAAGAACTCGAATCCATTCTCCAATAGTTATGATGGAGTCGGCCGTCAAATAATAGACTTTCTTATTATTTCCGATTACTATCTGAAAAGTCGAGTCTCCGGTCGTTGTTATTCTGCACGACTTGTCGAGAGTGATCTGAGCTCTGGGTTTACTCTTATTCACATCGCTTTGGGATCTATAGTAAGACAGAACTCCATCCTTGAGAACAAACCAACGCCTGCGCCATGTCTTCAGCCTTCCGCCCAATTTTGTCAAATAACCGCTTTTCTCAACCAAATCATTCATTTGGTTCTGTTCTCTAATAGAAGTCGGTCTTTGCAGAGATGAGAACCGTTTGGGAGCTCTTATCTCTTCGGGTGCCTCCGTTATAGCAATGGCGTCCATAGAGGCAGACATCACAGTGTCAACAGCATCGGGAGGTAACGCATAATCTTCGGATAAATTTGAGTCCACTGTTGTCTCTCTATTGAAACTTCTGGCGGGAGTGCCGAAGAAATCACTGTCGTGTCCGCTCGAAGATGTAGTGCCAGTCGTAATGGTTGTGGTGGTTATGCGAACATCCGTTTCATTATCCGATGAATCGGTGGAATCGTCTGTAAAGGGAACCGACCGTATCCTGGATGCCCTTCCCTTCACAGTCGCAAAGACGGGAACATTATATTCATTGAGAATGGTTTTCGTCGAAAGGATTTGTTGCGAATGGTTGGGTGTCTTCAGAAGCAGACGAATTGAATGATTTGGTGTCGAATTAGCGGAAGTGGCGCTCGGAATACCGGTGCTTGCGATCCGGTATATACGTGACTCCCATGAGGGACAGCGATGTAAAGGAGGAGTGGGAGGCCTGGCATTGGAGTCGAAATTTTTGAGAGTATTTGTCTCCTTCGTTGGCGTATAAATGTCTGAATAGTCGTGCAATTCGTTGGCCGCAAACCCACTCTTCTTTTTCTTGAGTTCATTGAAATTCAATCGTTTCATATCCGCTAACTTTCGGTCTAAACTACCGGCGCGTGGGAAGTATGTCAACGGATTCATTTGGCGACTATTGTGAGCACTCGAGTTGTGATCATTAGATCCAATAGGAACTCGAGTTCTTGGCGGAGGTATTGGTTTTTGGGGTCGAATGGAACGACCAAAGCGTTGATTACATGAATGACTAAATCCCTCCTCATCTGAAGAATCGGAATGTGTTTTGGAATCGCTTTCAGAGAGTTTGAGACCTCTCTTCGCCACCAGCTCTTGGATGTCTTCTTTCATGGAAAATGTGGACACTTTTGAAACAATGAGAATAGAAATGAAATAAAATGCAAAGCAATGCAGTGGTAAGAGAAGGGAATACCGTTTTGAAAGGCATACAAGCGATTGTTGGCATAAGTGAGTGAACTTTGATCGGAGTATTGGTTGATAACGAACTCAATCTTGCGTCGGGTCTCAGGACTGGCGGTATGTAAGTGTTGTTTAAAACACTGCAACTCTTCGTTGCATTTGCGGTTCTGGTCCCGAAGACACTGGTTCTGAATCTCCAGTTCCTTCAGCTTAATGGCCACCCATTCCTTGATTTTGGCCGCCTTTTCCTCCACTTGTTTGGCGTCTCTTAGTCTCAGTTTCTTCTGCTCCTCGATCTTCACTTCCAAATCACTGATCACTTTCTCCTTCTCCTCCATCGCGTGTTTTAATTGATTCAATTCGGGGGTCGACTCATCCATGTCTTCGGTGTCTGACTTTGTGTTACTTTTATCTAAAAGCGATTCAATGATTGAGCAGTACTTCAGTTCCGATTCCTCAGCCCTCTTGAGGGCGTCCTTCAGGCGGTCCTCCAGGTCTGCAATCTTGTGGACAAAGATTTGTCTGATTTTGTTTGAATGTGAGGCCAATTGCTGTAACGATAACTCCATTTGAATACATCTTTTCTGCCAATCAATCGATTCATTCGTATTATGAATGCATCGTAAAGTGTTTGGCGTTTGCTCTTCAAGTGATTCATTCATTCATTGGGTTTTCAATGCAATCAAAATGCAAACAAAACTCAAAACAAAACTCAAAACAAAACTCAAAACAAAACTCAAAACTAAATTACTTTTCAAACGATAACTCAAATGACATTCAATTCATGCTATGATGCCATCAAACGATACGGACATCAATGGGATGTGCAGTCAATGGGTCTGTCAGTGGACTTACATTTGGCTGTCCTTTCACTCGACGTCTATCGACTCACTCATCCACTCATATGTCTCCCACTTATGGCAATAAATGCATATAAATTGTCGTTAATTATCGTATCATTCAATTGAACGCCAATTCATTTGATTGACAGGCATTTGATTGAACACCAAAATATTTGCCAAAACATTAACAATAGATGAATCATAGGTTGCCATACATTAAGGATGTCCTCAAATGCACACATCATATGAGACCCTTTCATGAATGGTATGTTTTGCTGCATTCAGTCATAACACGACCGGCAATACTAACCGCTAAACCCTTCACTCAAATGCAGTCATAACTGATGAGTGGTTACAATGATTGCAAGCATTGAGTGCTTTTGTTTGTCAATACAGTGAATGTGTCAATGTTTTCACTTGACTTTCGCTTCAATTCACGTTTAGTTTAACTGTAATTCACATTAAATACACGTTTGAATACAAAATAGCAATCATTTGATGGCCGCTTAAAATGTCTCAACAGTTACTCAAGAGATCACTGGCACTACTCGATGGTAAGCGAGTTGACACAACATGTGGTGGTAATTGTGATTATATGAGTTGTGTTTTACAGGTGATAGTGAAGGCATGAATCGGAAGAAGACATACAAAGCAAACAAATCCAAGAAATCCAAACTTAAGAAGCGATTGAATGGCAAACCCAGAGGTATTGACTTGAGTTGCATTGACTCTCATTTGAAAGTAGTGCTCAAAAAGACATTTAATTGTATTTTGTTTGATAGTTGCAGACAATGGCACAAAAGTGAATGAAATGAACGCCAAATCAAAAAGCATTGAAATATACAAAGAGTTGCACAAAAATAAGATCAAATATCAATTAATCAAAGACTTGATGGTTAGTAGTGATCGCAAGTCAACGCATGTGTCCGACAAAAGTGAGTCCATATTCACGGAAAAGGATTTCAAGGAGTTTGCACTGAATTATAAATAAGACATTTTGTTAGTTAAAGAATAAATTTATTAATAAAAACAACTAATAATTAATTGATTGTATTAAATATTTGTTCATTAATTGGTAAAGTGGTGCACAAGTACTGTACGGTTACTACTGTAATGTACCGGCACAGCACATGGATCTAACAGATTGACTCCCTGTCCACGAGTGCACACTTCGAGACTATTGTAATATAAGGTAGAAATGAATAGAGTTGTGAAAAATATTTAATTAGATTTTTATTTAAAAGTGGTTTCGCATTGAATGTAATTGTCGGCGATTTTTGACAAATGAACTAAAAATAAACACAAAAAGTAAAATAAAACAAATTATATCATAGAATACAATATATGTCTAAATATATCGCAAAGTTTTACTATTAATGAAGACTTTACTATACAATGAATTGAGATTTAAATTTGGGTTCACTTTTGAATCGATTATAATTAAGAGCAACGATCGGAACAATGCTTTCATAACTTATTAATCCTTATAATTATAATAAAAAGCAATTATAATGTGACATAAGTTTGGGTGAAACGCTCCGGGATTTCTAAATCAGTCAATTTAAGCATTAAATAAAGTAATTGTTTTAAATGGCATTTCATGACATGTTTTCCAATAACAATGTGTATTTTGTATATCGAAAAATATAATATATTATGACTATTATTTTTAATTTGTGTTTGAATTAATTTCATTTGAATTCATTACAATTGATATTCATAACTATGGACAATCCGTGTAATGAATACACAATTACATGAATTCCGTATTATTTGTTTCGTTATATAAATTTAGATTTTATTTAAAGATACATTTCATGAGATTTGATTCAATGATATCTATACAGAATGCAATCAATTTGAGAAAAAGTAGATTCTTATCTAACCCACCAAACGATTAGTGGTCCCCATAATTAGAGGCCTAGTATTTCAGACATTCATTCACTAATTCAGAAGTTTTTCCAAATGTTTTTCTACTCAATCAATGATTGGACAACACATGAAGAGAGAGACAAATCTTGTATTAATTGCAGACATTATATGCAAGAAGACCTTAACGACAAAAAGAGTTAATTTCAAAGGAAATAATTAACGCCGAAATGATTGAGAAAATACCCAAAAATATTAGGCCCATAAATGTCAGGTTTTAAAGACTATATTGTCTATTTCTCTAACCCTTCCGTTGCCTTCAAAAAATATTTTTGCTAATTATATCGGAGTATATCCCAGGAATCACATGAGAACATGTGAATAGAGAAACAATTTTCTGTAACCAAAACATA